TCCTCCTCTTCCTCCTCCGAGTGCGAACGCTCGTGCGCCCGGCTCTCCTCGGTGATGGAGTAGTGGCCCGTGTCGTCCATGCTGTCAGAGTCCTTCTCTTCCGCCGAGCTCTCCGTGTCCGTGTCCCGGCTCTCCGTGCTGGTGCGGTTGGGCCCCACGTCGTCTCCCGTCAGGCTCAAGCTGAGGTCAGAGGCCTCCACTTCGATGCCCGAGGAGGTTTCTCGGCCTTCCTCAGCTGACATCTCCTCCGGGCTGCTGGACAAACTGCCTGCACAGCACGGACAGCACAGGGAGCTCCTCACTGAGCAATCCCACGCGCTCAGACCTAGAGAGCTCCCGTCTGCTCCTGCTTCTCCCTCTCTCCTTCCATATCACCAAGGGGAAGAGGCAGGAGCTCCACTGAGCCCCTGCCCCACCTCCTGGGTGAGGGTTTTAGCAGATCTCTGCTCCCAGATATGGAGCTCAGGAGGGCTCCGAGGCCCAGGCCTGTCCCTTGCAGCGGGGACGGGGCTCTCTTGCTCTGGGGATCCCGAGCCCTTCTGGAGGCCAAAGGGGGCACAGGCCGAGGTCCAGTCCCTGGGACAGCTGCACTGGGAGCAGCACTTGGCTCCCTCCTTGAATCAAGAGCAACAAAGTGAGAACAGACACTGGCAAGGGGACAAGATGGGGATCCAGGCACCTTTTGGCACCTTCACCAGCTCCCTCAAATGCTCAGCGGTTTGATCAGCACTAGCGAGCTCTGCAATACGCTTTGCTTGGCAGAGGCGGCCTTTTGTTTTTGGTGTTCCATGAAGAGGTTTAATGCACCTGCTAAGCAAAGCCACCCTGACGATGTCTCGTTTGGAGAAACACTCCCCTGCAGTCGCCTTGCCTCTACCCAAACCACGAGGGCAACGTGGCCCTGGCACAGGGCTAAGCACAGGGGGTCTCTGCCGGCTCCCTTACCGTTCACCGTGTCCGTCTTCCCATCCATGCTGCTCCCTTTATCCGACATCTTTTCCTCTTGCGCGGTCACCCTGAAGGCAAGAGACGGAGAAGGGAGACGTTGGAGCGGACCTGGCGCGCGGACTCGCGCCGGCACGCGAGCTCGGAACGCCGCGCAGCCGGCCCAGGCATTGCTTAAAATTCCTCCCATTTGCCTAAATTTCCAAAGCGGCACCGAGTTCATGGGGAAGCGGGTTGGCGACTCGGAGGGTTTCACGTGGCGCCCGGCGTTCCTGCCCGCGGGGTCGCTCCAGCTCCCAGGACCTGCCTGCAGCTCCCACCTGCCACCCGGGCTCCACCAGGAGCCAGAAAACGCTCGTGTTGGAGCTCCAGATCCTCAGCTACACTCAGAGGAACGACGAGTTATTGACTTGCGCTTGGCAGTAATTGCTCTACGCCAAGACAGCTGCACAAAATACGTCCGTAAGCGCGGAGAACGCGCTGCACCCCGGGGAGGCACAAGTGGAAGCAGCTCGGATCTGAAATGCAGATGGGGAAAAAGGTAGCTTGGGAATGCAGCAAGTCACAACATCGAGAAACTTGGCACCTGCAGCCCGTAGGCAGCCAGTGCGAAGCTGCTCGAGAGGCTTTTTTAACCCCAGCGACAGATTTTTAAACACCTTCTCGTGCACCGAATGCTCCCGGAGTCCTGGTGCTGGTGAGGGAGCATTTTCCTACGTGCTGCACGTGGGACCCCCCCACCGGACACCTGCTTTTAGGAATTTAGTAATTCCTCAGGACACATGGAAAAAAAAAACAACTGCAGCTTCCCAGGACAGCCCTGCTCGCCCGTGCACCAGCCCTACGCTCCTGCTCAGCCCTCGATGGTGACACGGGGGTTAAAACCAGCACGAGCTGCTGTCGGAGGGGACAAGTTTCCGCGCGGGAGGCAGCGCTTCCACGCGGCTCTTCCCAGCCCGGGATCACGACGGGGATCGCGGCACCCAGTTTGGCCTGCAGCGGCTCCCGGGCCGAACCGCGCCGCGCGGGGCAAACACGTCGGAGTCACGAGCAGCAGAGGTTTTGCCAAGGGGGAGGAAAAAATAACATTTTATTTATGCTTTGCTAGGCCTTTGCTTTCCTTCTATTTTTAGCCATCCTTTTTCATACTCGGGCTTTAGCTGCTTGCTCTGAACCGGGGGGCAGGGAGCCTGTTCAAAGCTCCCCGTTTCCACAAGGCGGGAAAGCTGCAGCCATCATTAACTCCCATTACAGCCAACACCGTGGAGATTAATCCGTGCTGGATCAGGAATTAACACCAGCTTCGGCCCTAACCAGCCACAGGCTGAAGAAGGCAAAAAGTTTTGACCCAACCGTATTTATCACTCGCAAGCTGAGAGAAAGTGCGACTCCCACCTAAGAAATAAGTGATTTAGGAGCTTGACTTGGCTCGTCCTTGCCTTGAGGCGACGTCACACGACAGAAACTTGAGCAGCTCTGCTAGAAAGGGACCTTTTGTGCCATGGGGAAGATTTATTCAATATTTTGGCCATGAGCATTTCACACTGACCCCAGCTGCTCTCTGAGGGCTGGTGCTAGTGCCCCGGACACCAACAGGGCTCTGCAGGGAAGGGAGGCCCAAGGAGATCAGAGAGTCCGTCACGAGCTCGACTCTCGCCACACCACACGGTTACGCCTTCGAAACCTGGCAATTACTCTTATTCTCATTAATGCAAAGGCTTGGGAGAGTCATAGCATGTGCTCAAGAAACCTCCCTTTGGACTTTTGCTTCCCTCTGCCACAAATCGCCAGTCCAGCTCCATCATTACTGCCGTTTCACAGCAGCCTTTCCACGAAGGTGAGGAACAAGAAATTCACTCGCAAGGGAAAGGAGGGGAAAGGAATCCATTACCGAATAATTAGTCTGACTTCATGTCTCATCCACCCACAGCAGAGGGCTATAACCTTGCTGGGAAATAGGAAAGCAAATCAGAAAACGAAATGAAAGGGCCCTCGGCTGCCTAGGAGGG